CGCGCCATCCAAATCACCACTGACATTATCGATGAAATCGAAGCATTCGGAGGAAGAGTAGACAGCTGCAGAGATGTTGAATGTGCCAGTGACTTGGATGTTGAAATCGTCACCTTGTACGAAAGAATCGTCAGGGACTTAGATGGAGCTCTTGAAATCGCCAACGAAGCCGCTTTGATCAAATTGGGCGCTGAACTTGACGAAGCCCAATTGGACCATGAAAGATACGCAGAAGGAACCCGTCAATTGTTGGAAGAACTCAGGATTTGCGCCGATGAACGTGTTTAAGGAAATGATCTGAAACATTGTTTTCAAATAAAACTTATTTACCTCAACTGAATAAATATATAAAAATCGAATATGGGTTTTTATTTTGTCTAACATCCCAACCAAAAACATTCAAATGCAGGATTTCTTTCGTATAAACCTAGAACGACCAAAAAACCTGGAGTCAAGGCACTTCAAGCATAACAGTGTAAGAAGAAACTCAAATGAGGAGGGGAAACCGTTTCGATTACATTTTGCTACTATACGAGATTTGAAGCCATAAAATCTTCAACGAAAAACAAAGACGCTTTCTTCAGATTCTACAAGAACAGGATGACAATCATCCAGAAGCTACAATGATTAGACATTACAGCTTTTGAAGCAAATCTCATTTACAGATGATATAACAGTTTCTTGAGATGTTTGAGGTAAGGTGAGTGCTCTACCGGACAACTTCGAGATCTGCAACCACATAAGAAAAAGAAAAGCTTCCAACCCGAATGTTAGCTGAGCTCTAATTGGTGCTACACTTCTGGAACCGCTTAAGTTTCTAACTTGAAAGTCATCTGAGCTTAAAATTGTTGTTGATGTTGATTTGCAAGCTTTAGTTAAAAAAGCCAAACCTTGATGGACAGCTCGATAAATAAGCCCTAAACGCATTGTTTATGGGACACATCTGCTGTGTTATTCATCTCCCAGCTAAATTCTAGCTGAAGCTTCCAGCTAAATAAGCAGACACCAGTGTGCAAAAACTTTAAGTAAATTATAAAATTGATGGCAATAATGTTTCGACGAATTGCATGGTGGTTGTGAAGACACCAATGGAATCGAATCTTTGAATTTGTTATTCCATGCATTATTCATAGCATTGTTATGTTCTTTAATATGTATCATTTCATTGACTCTTCTCTTATTATAATTACTCTCGTTAATCAGTATTTTTGTGTTCTCAAAATCAAAGTTATGCAACTTCTGTTGTACATGCTGTGCTAATGCTGTACCATTTTTGTTATTTTTTTTAGGCTATACTTATGTTCGTATATTCGTTTCTTTAGATATTGTCCTGTTAGACCTATGTATGTGTTATCACAATTCAAACAGTCTATTTTGTAAATTACATTAGGCGTGTCTAATTTGTCAATCCTAGGTTTAAATTTTGTGAAACATTCATTTGCTAAGGTGTTTTTAGTTTTTTCTGCTATGTTGATATTATGTGGTTTGAATATATTTTTTATTTTTGTGTTAATTTCCGGAATATATGGTAATGATATAT